TCACCTGGGGCCAAAAGTGTCATATCTGGGATTTTTTCAGGGGAAAACTCAACTTTCGCCAAAATCGACTTTTTTACCCGGGTGAAAGTGGATTCCGACTATTTGAGGGACGGACTATCCAGAACTATTAACAGTATGGGGAAAAAGTCAAAAATGAAAAAAAATTTTTTGTCACCTGGGGCCAAAAGTGTCATATCTGGGATTTTTTCAGGGGAAAAGTCAACTTTCGCCAAAATCGACTTTTTTAGCCGAGTGAAAGTGGATTCTGACTATTTGAGGGACGGGCTATCCAGAACTATCAACAGTATGGGGGAAAAATTAAAAATGAAAAAAAATTTTTTGTCACCTGGGGCCAAAAGTGTCATATCTGGGATTTTTTCAGGGGAAAAGTCAACTTCCGCCAAAATCGACTTTTTCACCCGGGTGCAAGTGGATTCCGACTATTTGAGGGACGGACTATCCAGAACTATCAACAGTATGGGGGAAAAGTCAAAAATGAAAAAAAATTTTTTGTCCCCTGGGGCCAAAAGTGTCATATCTGGGATTTTTTCAGGGGAAAAGTCAACTTTCGCCAAAATCGACTTTTTTACTCGGGTGAAAGTGGATTCCGACTATTTGACGGACGGGCTATCCAGAACTATCAACAGTATAGGGGAAAAGTAAAAAATGAAAAAAAAAACATTCGGTGACAAAACGGATCAAATTCCAAATGTTTTCCCAAATGATCCTCGACTCCTATATTCACAAAGTAATTTTTAATTTCATATTCTCTCCGTGTGTACGTAAATTCGATATTTTCCTCTGCAGTAAATAAAATCCACCCCATCACCAATAATTGTTTTATTCCACCAAAAACTAAATTCTCCAGTAATAACAAAGGCCAAATGCCGTATGCTAATCCTACATGAGGGTATTCCACGAGCAAATTCCCATGATAACCGCCCGAAAAATCCATCAAATTATTCATTCACTCAAAATCATCCCATTGGCTGCAGCTCCATTATGGAAATCAACATCTCTGTTAACGGTCAATTCTTTTTCTCCTCCATTTCCCACACACAAAGTTTTCCCCGACAATGAGGACCTCTGTACCCAGCTGGAAAATCCACAAGGGACATTTTCTAAAGCATAACAAATGGAGAGGAAGAAGTAGCGGTGGAGAATGAAGAGAAAAAATTTATACATCTTGGAAGTGAAAAAACGCGTCAGTATCCTCAGAAGAGTCTGGACTGCTGGTTAAAGTCCTTCCGGAAGGTTCACGCGCGAAATGAATTATTCACGAAGATGGATGGTGCACAACAGAAAGACGATGACGGACCACCGGAGATACAACGGAACAACAGCAATGAGTCTTCTGTGAATTTGGAGCTTGTGTTCGTGGCAAGGAAATGTCCTTGACCTTATGTTCCTTGTCTCCTCTCTTCCTTCAGTTTACGAAGATCGTCTATTCTTGGAGAAGGGCCAAAACTTTCCGGTCCCTCGAACTTTTCTCTCTCTTTGTTCTGGTTTTTCAATGGGAGTTACTGATAAATTCAAACGCCAATTTGGTATTCTGTGGGGACAGGGATTACGCAAAGTTTTGGTTCATTTATGCGTCAATTTCTACTGTATGTGAGTACATTAGTGATCTGGTGGTAGTCACATCCGAGGATTTGCTCAGGAATATTGAACAGAGGGTTTTGCGACTTAGAAGGGTTACGTTGGTTCCTCATAAATTATATTGGTCATAATTATGGATTGCATACGCATTTTTTCTTCAAACATATGTATAAACCTGATTCAAGAATAAAATATACTTGGTTCAAGTTTATTTTATATTCAATGCAGGTTTTTTTCCCGCGTTGTGTTATATTTAGCTCATTCATTTGTCATATTAGAAGTTGACCGACCGAGAATTACTGGAACAGTTGCGACTTTGTCCACCTCATGTTAAATAGAGGCTATTAAGTAACTTTTCATTTGCAAGTAAGGAAGCTCTATTGTTTTAGCTGCGCAGTTGAAATTAAAGTACCTTATTTTCGCTCCAACTTCTGTACCTCAGAAGTTCAAAAGGTTTCGTGCTCTGTTATTCCATGAATTACTCCAATGTTGACTTCATTTTAATGAACTCCTTCAAGTCGTGTCATTTAGAATAATTTTCAAAGCCTTTCTGATACTGTGATAGAGGACGTCTCCTTGGGGATATGATCTGGTTAATAATAACCATTTGTATCACCGCAGCCAGACAATATTCAGTGAGATATATCAAACTTTACATTCATCATTTGTTTACGTATTCCTCTGCAAAAGAAGAAAATCCCTCATAAATTAACGATTGCAGTCAAGTATCCTTCAAAGTAACTCATTCCTAATCTCTAAAAAGAACAAGTGATTATCATCAACAGGAATTCATCTATAAAGTAACGAAGAATATTACGCCAATATGACTGCAGCCAAAGGAGATTCAGTAACAAACGTCAACCTTTATATTCCTGAAACTTGAAGGCTGTTGTCTTTATAGAAAGGAACTTTTAAAACATGTGGATAACAGAATGAAAGGACGCCTTCCCTCAGAGATTGACGCTTATAATCAACAATTCTTCAAAGTAACTCATTCCTTCTAGTCCATAAAAAGAAAGAACAAGCGATTATCATCAAAGGAGTTCATCATCAAACAAACTAACGAGGAAATGAACAAAGCCAACATTCATGAAAAAATCTGCTCATGGAGTTACTAA